CATTCATGAGATCAGCTGCTAAAAACCCTTGGATCTTAATTCTCTTGTAAACAACGTCTAGCATATTTGGCGCAGCTCGCTTTCTGGCATCTATGTACTCAGAAATCACGCCGCAGACAGCAACCCTACCGAAGGTGTTCATGTTCTCAACTGCTGCTTCCAGCATCTCAGATCCCACATTGTCAAAATATATATCAATCCCATCCGGGAAGTACCTGAAGATCAAACACAATTTAGTATTAACCCGTATTTCGCTTCAAAACGATAGGATCAAAGAGAGGTTTACTTTTTGAGAGTCGACTTTAAATCGGGCTCTTCCTTGTAGTTGAAGGCATCATCAAATCCGAGCTTTGCCTTGAGCAATGCCACCTATAAACAGATCATTCAGATCAATTTTCATGAACAGATTCCGTTTGAACATAGCGCACTAAAGAAAAGTTTTGTAAGGTCACCTTTTCTTTGCTTCCGGCACAGCCAACAACATAGCAACCGAAGAGTTTTGCATACTGTCCGACCAAATTTCCAACCGATCCAGAAGCTGCAGATACGAAAACTCTCTCCCCCTTTTTAGGCTTGCACACTTCAAAAAATCCCCCATATGCTGTAAGTCCACTAAAACCTGTAACATACAAAATAACCAAATCAATCCAATTGTCAATGAATTACGTGATTCAAGGACACTGGGTGCCTCTGTTTTTAAGGGTAAGAAGAGATAAACAGAGAATCAGTCGTCGTGACGATGAAGTAAAATTACCTAGAATTCCAACTTGATAAGAAAGTGGAAATCCCAAAGGGTCAAATTTCCTAAACATGGTCCCTTCTTTTAGAACAGTGTACTCTCCCCAACTGATGAGCCCCACAACCAAGTCATCCTTCTCAAACTCTGGATTCCCAGAAGCCACAACTTTTGCCACACCGTAAGCATCAATTTCCTGCCATCATAATAAAGTATTAAATATAATTATAAAAAGCTCAATTATGTTGAGACGGGAGCTGTTATTTACACTTAAAAACGTCATTATGCACTTTATAAATAAAATAAGAGGCACAGGATCTCTGTTTTCGAGTGGTAAGAACAGTTTGCTTTACGACTTTTGTAACAAATAAGCTTCAAGGCTTACATCTCCTGGGGCGATGGCAGCTGCATAGCTTATGGCTTTGTGGGAGGAGCTGAAACTTTTCATGCGGTTGAGCTGGTACGGATCGATTGACACATAGAGATTTTTCACGATGACATCACTGGAACCAGGGGAAACTGATAGAGCAAGGGGTGAAGTTTTGAGCTCGAAGTCTGACTCTTTCGGTTCTTCGTCGTCGAGGGGTGATTTTATGGTAATGTACCTGTTGGTTACGTCCATTTTCAGCTGCCTCTTTATGCAGGCAAAGCTCAGCTGCCTCTTTATGCAGGCAAAGCTCAGTGGATATATATATATATATATATATATATAGAGAGAGAGAGAGAGAGAGAGAGAGAGGGAGAAGTTAAGAAGAGAGAGAGGCAAAGCTCACTAGAAAAATCAAATAGCCGGTCAGTTCACGACAAAACCGGAATCAAAACGTTATAAGAAGCCACACAAACGATTGATTCTCTATCGCCAATAACATGCCAAAACAAAATAAAGCTGAAACCTCCAAATGTACCTAATGAAGGCCTTTTAGCTATAAAATAGTTAATGAGATTTGCATAACTCCTCATTTTGGTCACTGAAATTTGAAATCAGTAGAAGTGATCCCTGAGTTTGTCCACCATCAATTATTTTGATCATTTCGTTAACAATTTTGTTAAATAATGACCAAAATGATAAAAATACCCTCAATTTAATAAACAAAGGGTCAAAATGATTTATAAAAAATTGTGGGTGTTTTTGCTATTTTATCTTTATTTAATGGAGATTTTTCAAGAATTGACTAAAATGATTGATGGTGGACAAATTCAAGGATCACTCGTATTGATTTTAAATATCAGGAACCAAAGTAAGGAGTTATGTAAATCTCAATATCATTTTAGCTAAAAAATGAAAGCAACCAATTAAAACTCGATCCAAGAAGATGCTTTCGTCTTAGATTATGGTGTTGTAGCCCTTTTTGGGGGTCTTTTACGTTGTTTTTTTGCAGTAAATTTAAAATTCGTGTTTATTGCACGTCTGTTATATGGTTTTATATTTTAATGATGAATATTGTTTTTTAAAAACAAAAAACACAAAAAAAAATCCTCAATGAAGATTCTTTTGGTCGAGCTGGTCGTCCCTGAAACCAACCATGCATCTAAGAGCAACTCTACCTTTAAAAACTCCTTAGTTAAGAGTCAATACAATTCATTCAGATGAACAGTAATTGATTGCAACGAATAGTAATTATCCAAGTGCATTTTCACTTTTAAACCGAATAACCTAATTAATTCGTATTAAGATATTATTAATTTCGTTTTATAAAATAATAATAAATAATTTTATTTTTAATTTGGAATATAATTTTTAACTAATCTTGTCACACCACGTGTTATTATCTGAAAGTACAATTTTTGTGGATAGATTTTTAAGTAGAGTTTTAACCAATTCTGTAGCGCCACATGTCATGATTCTGTAAGAATTTTATGGACATATTTCTGATAAGATTTTGAATCAATCATATCGCGCCACGTGTCACTATCGGTTTAGAATCCTTTAGAATAGATTTTGATAGGAATTTTAACCAATTTCGACCAATTAACCATTTTTTTGCAAACAAAAGTATATGAAAACTTTGGTTGAAAGTATTGAAAATGACATGTCTGACCCTGATATCCTCCAAACATAAGGGTAGGAGTGTGTTGGTCGATACCCGAAGGTGATGAAACCATATTAACATGCATATAAGTTATGAAGAAAGAACGAACGTAAATAAAACACGTAAATTTTACTAATAAAGAATATGCAAATGTGGGAACGTGTTCAAAGCATATAATTAACCAAGAATATTGCAGAATGAATATTATAAAAAGGTACGAACAAAGGAATGTGTCCTACACCGAGAGGACTCGAAGATACCAATGCGGGAATGTCTTGGCGTCGGGATTGCACGTCTTGATTTTAAGTCCTGAAGGGAGCGCAAAACTAGTGTTCTAAAAGTCAGTCTAAGCGGCCGCCTAGGTGCTGAGTGTTGGGTTGTCGCCGCGATTAGCTTCTAATTGGGCACAAAATCGGAAATATATTAGGCGGACGTCTGGGCAGGATTAGGCGGGACTAGATGGAGTTATGCTGGTCTGGGCAGTGTTGGGCGGAGGCTAGGTAGGCGTATGTAGAGCACGCCGGAATCTGAAAATTTTTGTTGCAAACCCGCCGTGCATCTCAGCGCGAGGAAGATGAAGATGATGATTTACTTTATTTTCTTTCTCCTTGGTTCCTATGCTAGTTAATTAATTTATCTATGTTTTTTCTCCTTGTTTCCTGTGCTGTTTAATTTGTTTATTTGTTTATTGATCTTGGTTTCTGCATAAGACTAATTTGCTTATTACGACTATAACATATTTATTTTATTTTTAATATTGTTTCTGTTTTTGTCTGGTTGTAAACATGGATCATTATTCAGTTTGTATGATTTAATTAAGATGGTGCCACCATCTTTTATCTAGGAAAAGCATCTATTGCAGCCTGCACGTTTTCTTTGAATGGTCCTCAACATTTTTTTACTACTTTTTATACCCTTTTCTTTTTCCACTCTTAACCCCGTTATTACTTTTCATTCCTTTTTTTATTTTTTTGTTGTAATGTTTCATTATTTTTTTTAAGACCATACCATATGTATTTTTATTATGTCTTAAAATGCTAAAGCTCTCACTTAAAAAAAAAGAACATATTATTAAATGTTTAAATTTGATTATCTTATGATTCTAAATGAAATTATGTATATTTTAGATATGAACAAATACTTATTTATACGATATATAATGAAGTTACTTAAATCCGCTGAATATGTGGTTTTAAATTGTGAGCTTGTTGTACATGTGTTATCCTACAATACTCCTCACTTTGGTTATATGACATATATGCTTAATGTGTTTTTAAATTTTGGACTTGTTGGATACTCTTTTTACATTTTATCATTCTTTTATTATCTTATCCATGGATTTCATACAAGTATAATTTTTTGTAAGTGTCAATATGCACTTATTTACAAGATATACAAGAAATTTACCTAAATCCGCTTAGGCGCCCGTCTAGACCCCGCCTAGGCGCCTAGGCGCCTAGGCGCTAGGCGGTAGCCAGTAGCCCAATTAGCGCCTAACGTTTTTTAGAACCTTACTCAAAACAAAGCATGAGTGGACCAAGTTTATATATAAGTAATACTAAAACAATTATTCTTTAACGTACTAAACCCCAGGTTTAGAAAACTCGTATATCATAATAAGTAATAGGTTTTCCAAAAACCCTAGCATGCCATAAAACTTTCATAAAACATATATCATATAAAGTGTGCTTAGTAGTGGAATCACAATCGCCCGAAGGACATGCATCACCTGCTGAAGGCATATATAAGTATCATTCGCCCGAAGGCCCTACATCACCCATCTGAAGGCATATACAAATATAATTCGCCCGAAGGCCCTTCATCACCTTCCCAAAGGCTATTATAAATATCTTTTGTCCAAAGGCACTACATCGCCCGCCCGCCCGAAGGTCATATATAAGTATCATTCGCCCGTAGGCACATAGTATGAATAACCATTAAGTAAGCACAGAAAATCATGAACATAATCTTTCCAAAATATATCTCATCGGAGCTCAATAGCTCAAACATCATATCATAAATTCATATGAGCGTTCTAGCTCAAATCCTCACCATAAACCATGTTCATAAATATATAATCATAAATATTTCAAAGAAAGTAAATCCGATAAAGCATGATATTTCATAAAGTAAATCCGATAACTCATAAACGTTTCTTAAAACGTAGTCATAAAATCATACTTTTCATATATGCATTTCTAGTAATTAAATTATGCATTTTGGAAGAGGTCCACTCACCGATACTCCGTCGTTGAAGAGTTGTGCAAACTAGAGAAGACACAGTCGCCACTAACAAACGCACCTAAGCACATAAAAGGACCAATTAATAAAACTCTACTAAAATGATTGAATTTGGGAAAACGGATGTTGTAATCGGATTTAGGACATCGAAAGACCTAAGGAGGGACCTCGGGTTCCCCCACGCACCGAGATGGGTTGCCGGAAAAGTCATCGAAAAATTCACCTATATCGCTATGGTCGACGGCAGAGGCGCGTGTGCTCCACGCACCGGCCATGACAGCCCTCCATGCGTGACCTATGCACCGACCATAAAAATCTAGGAATTGGGTTCGGGTCAGGTCGGATCTGGATTTTGGGTTGTATTGGGCTCGGTTATTGGGTTTTGGATCCGATTTTGGTTTGAAGGTTTGGGCCGACCCGGTTTTAGGCCGTGGAAAATGGCCAGGAAGCTAAACGGAGTCCGATTAACTCCATTTACAATTATAACTAGCATGCCACATGCCATACATGTATTTGAAGCTACGAATGAGAGGAATAGAAATATACCACTAGTGTTCATGGTTGTGGCCGGAAAACGGCCTGCAAGTCATGGCATCCCTCACTGGAAACTGGGTTTGTTACCCCCGAGCTAATTTCGTGTTAATCTTTCACAACAACGAGTATACCGCTTAACAATCAAACTCAAACATCAATTTAAGATAGAGAAAGAGTGACTCCGAGGCTTACCTAATCGGAGGTGGTGGAACTCGCCGGATTCGTTGACATACGGTGGTAGTGGTGGTGGTCTTGGTTTCTGCACTTGCAGAGGAAGAAGATGGACAATAGATGTGAGAGAGTCCAAGAGGGATGAGGGAGATCAGAGAGAAAGAATGTTGGTGGTCTTGCGTGCATGTAGGTGTGCTCGGGGAATGAGAGAAAGACATAGAAGAGAGAGAGATAGCTGAGAAAGAGTCATTGGTGAGAGAAGAAAATGACGGGAAAATTGAGCCAGAAGGGGACATGGGACAACTTGCGGGCCCTAGTGGCTCACACAACAAGATCCCCCAAAAAACAACACTTCAAATAAATATCCCAACCAAAGTGAAATTACAAAATTACCCCTTGTCATTCAGAAACTTGTAAAATTTTGGGACGGGTCATTACAGAAAATATTAAAATGTGGTGTAAGGTGACAGATAATGGTTAGGTATTCATTAAAAAAATCATTTTTTCTATATTTTAAAACATGTTTATAATTTTTTATTAAGTTAATTAATCTTGATCATTGGATTTCAAAAAGTTTGAAATCCAACAGCCCAAAACTGGACACAAGGCCAACGGTAAGATTTCTTACATTTTCTCTTCTTTTTTTTTGGCAGAAAAACCTGGACCTTTGATATGAAACCGAACAGTCCAGATTTTTCCACGTCACTAGTCGTTAGGTTTGAATTTCAAATGTTTTTACAATTGGAGAAAACTAGCCGTTATAAATCCAACGACCATCGCCGCACCACGTAGCCCTATGTCATGCTTCTGTTATTACGCTTGCAGCACTGGCCCGTCCCTATGTGCAATGTTAGGAACGCGCGGCCACGCTCTTGGCGCAAAAAAATTTTGATTTCACATAGCTGACGTCAGCCTAACATCAAGTAGGTCGAGTGTTAGGCTAGCTAATTCTGCTAGGCATGTGGCTGGCCTCCCCCAGAGCTCATTGGATGGGTGGACTGGGTTTTTTGGGGGAAGGGGGAAAAAGGGGTTGTTGCCCAGCTAATACATGGAGGGCTGTAGTTGCTCTCACATGTGACTATGATGAGGTTTCTCAATAAAAAAACATGTACGGAAGTTCTTTTTTTTTTTTTTTTTTTTTTTTTTTTACAATGCTTTGTGGATGGTTTAAAATTTGGGTACTATTATCTATATCTTGTTGCAGTCCTATTAGAATAGGAATGCGATTGTGTAAATCCTAGTATATCTTGGAATATCTCTTATATTCCTATTAGTAGTTAATATCCTATTAAGAGTTGTAATCCTAAAGGAAAAGGAATTAACCTTCCCTACTACTATAAATAAAGGTACAATGGGGTGGAATAGAACACACCCACAATTACACATCTCTCTCTCTTCTCTCTATCTATGTCGCACCCCTTTTTCTCTCTGGCCTCCATAATTGTTCAGTAATTTATGCCTACAACACGTTATCAGCACGCTCTTAACACTGCGCTAACAAGAGAATTTATTCTTTAATTAGGGGAGTATTACATTTTAATCATTCTTTTTATGATTAATTTATTATTTTGACTTGATCTACATGCTATTGTTTCAATTTAATTTTTCTAAGTTGAACGTGATACAACGCATTGAAGATGCAATTCCGGCTTTCCGAGAAGGATCTTCTACAAATTCAAAGGCTTTTGTAGTTTTCTGCCAATCAGGTACTCTTAAAATAAAATAAGATATTTGAAATGACCATGAAGCATGAAAACATTCCCTATGATGCATGAACCCCCCTATGTTTATATTTTCCTTCCGATATATATATTGTATATGTTCATATATTTGTCAAAATATATATTTGTTTCATAACATTACGCAATTATGCTATGTGAAATTTGTGAGTCAAAGAATCGAAAGAAATTAGAAGCAATTTGGGTTTTTAAACCCTAGGATTTTTCGAAAAGAAAAGAAAAAAAAAAGGGAAGAAAAATCGCTTTTTTTTTTTTGTGGCTGAAATCGCACCAAACCCTAGCTTGGGACAACCCTTTAGGCCTACTGCCCAAGTTGGATCAGGCTTGCCGCTTGGATCACTTGTGCATGGGTTTCACGCCCTTAGCCCGTTCCAGAAGCAGCAAAAGCTGCTGGGTTTTTTCGCACCTCGGCCCATCGCCAGTAGCCTTGCGCTACTGGGCCTCGCTCCACTGCCACTTGCAAATTTTTTGGCTGTTGTTCAGCTCATGCCAGGGTTGACTCTTATTCTTCTTGAGCTTTTTAGCCCGTTCCCTTACATTGGACCAGTAGTCCGTAGGAACTATGAAAAAAATTGGAGAGAAGGTCTCGGCCCGCTTTGCTTGCAGCTGCTGGGCTATGCAAATTAGACAGCAGCCATCAATCCTTTGCTGGGCTGCCTTTTGTTATCGGCCCAACGCTAATTTTTGGCTTTTTTTTTTTTAGCCCATTTTTTTAGGTGCCCAACTCACGACACCCAAGCCCAATGTTATTAGGTTATGGCTTTTTGAATCCAATGCTATTATTTAGCATTCTAAATAATTTTAACCCGAATGTTATTATTATTTTTGCTTCTACGATCGACCCCGAATGGTCCCGATCTATTGAATTAATTAAAAGTGACCTGCAGTCCATTAATCTGATAATGAATCCAAAATTATTGACCTAAAGATCACTTTTAGACATTAACGATTCAATAATTTATTTTTATACTTTGAACCGTTGACTTACTTTCGTAGTCCCGAAGCACTCACACTTGAGTTCCCAAATAACCTTAAATCCACTACACTTAAATCAGTATATTGTATTCTGTGTTCCTGCAGGAAACTCTCTTTTATGAACTAAACATTCATAAACTAAATTGAACCTGTAGTTTCAAATTTAGTGCCTTTGAAACCCGAAGTTTTCATAAAACAATACACCCATGAAAACCCGACGTTTTTCATGAAAACCATGTCTTAGAACTCGAATGTTCTAACTTTGATGCTTATGGATGATTCATTCCCATAGCACTAATCACACTCTTGTTCCCTCCAATTATGTGGATTGTTAAACCATCACAAGTTTGATTTTCTCTGATTTGGATGTTTTTAATATAAAAAAATCACTTTATGTGAGGTATAAGACGTGAATCTCCACTTGACTATCAAGAAGCTGAGACACCATTGAAGCCAACAATGGCAAGGAAGAGCTGAATAAGCCTCCGCCATGATCTTCATTCGAAGACTTATGCCCGAAGCATTACCAACGGAAGTACCTCCTAAACGAGGATTCCATGGCTCTTTGGCTCGCTCATGTGGACTGTCTAATCACGAAAGACATTGCCTGAAGCACACCATGATTACGTCCATGAATGAGTACAATTTTGAAGTTTATAAATCCGATCGAATTTTGACTAGAGAATACTTTTCTCGTTGTTCCTTGTTTCTAACTCGCCTTTGAAATAGCAGTGTAGAAAGCAGAAGTTTACCAAGTTCTCAAATCTGATTACTACCACAAACATGAGAGAAAAGTATGGACTCAGTTCGGCAAGAGTTTACCGAATAGCTCGACCCAGTTCGGTCAAAGTCTATCGAATGGTGATACACTGCTTCGGCAGGGATACACCGAATGGCATATTTATACACAATCCAATTTTGAGTTTATTTTTATAACATATGGTAGAATCAGGGCCTGCCAAGGTATGGCATCATGCCCGAAACGATCCTTGGTACCTAAGACCTAAAACTTCAAGAATAAGGAAAAATATTCTTGAACCTTAACCCTGCAGAATCTATTTTCGTCTCAATGGAATAGACCATTGGTAATGCACATGTTTGTGCCCTTACCAATGTTGGTAAGGAGTACCATTCTAGTAGTCAATACGTGAGACTAATTTTGCTCCACCAAACGCCTTTGGAAGAACAAAATTTTGACATGGATGGCCTTGTTGGCCGAATCCCCTTAGTAAACCATTTACTTTGTGAACATATTTCCATGTTCTTGGATTCACGTTTGGTGTATGTTTTACTTATGGATAATCATATTGATATTTTCCTTGAATATGAGTTAATTGAATCATGTTTCATAATACATGTGACTGATTCAATTAAACACGTGATTAGGTAGAAATGTGGGAAAGTTAGTTGTCTGGATGAATGCGTACTATGCATACTAACTTTACACCTAAATCACACATCTAACAACAACTTCAGGTATATCCAACATGATAAAGAGCATTCGACACACTCCTTGTTGTATGAATTGTATTGAATCACCATTTAAGGGACCTTAAATTCTCCCCGACGTGAGTTTTTAAGGATATTCAAGATGACAACGATCATAAATGAAACCACTGAAGAAAATGAGTGAAATATCTTTGCACCACCTCTAAAAATGAGCATGAAGCTTTGATTTAGGGCCAATGAGTTGTCTCCTAACTAGGGCACACGACACATATGGCAAACCTGTAGTCGGGTGATTGAGCAGTTTACTTGCTTTGGCATGACCTTTTGGGACACTTAGGTCGAACAATGATGCTGCAACACATCTCCTTACCCGAAGTAAGGATCTTGTGCCTACAAGCAGACTGTGCGAAGCCTGCTCATTAGAGAAATTGATTTTCTATATCATTCCTTGCAAAGATATGTGGACTAATCCAAGGGAATATATGTGGACTAATCCAAGGGAAATTGATTTTCTATATCACCATTTTTCATAAGTGGATTCAATGGAATATATGTGGACTAATCCAACCAAAATATGGACCATATAAATACTTATAGTTTTGGTTGATAAATCGACAAACTGGTCACATGTTTGTCCACAAACATTACTGCTAAACCTCATGGCCGATTAAGGGTTCACCACCCTACTTATCCCTTAAGGTTCGGGAGACTGGATAATGCCAGAGAGTTTATATAGATGATTTTTGATAAAGTATTGCATGTATTTTGAGTTTATAATTGAACATTGAATTCCCATGTTCACCCTAAAGAACCTCGCCTAGTGATCAGAAAGCGCAATTTAAATGATCACCCGAATTTTGGTAAACATACCAAGTTTTCGGTTTCTACTTAGGGCTATGCAATCCTTGTACACAGTTATGTTGGTCCACCTTGAGGCCCATTACCACCCAACCTATATGACGTTACAGTTGGTT